CTTTCTTAATCTCTTGGCAGTCACCAGCAAAGTAACAGCCAGGCAGGAACCATGACTTCTTGAGGGCTCTTTTTAGTCAGATATCAGAAGGAACAGCAAGGATTCCAGGCTTTCTGTCAGAGGTTTTAATCTCCTCCTCACCAGAGCTTTCTCCTTGAGCAGCCAGATTGAGTACTAAAGCAGGGATAGTAAGACAAACTCAAACATCTAAACATCTGAATAAACCAGGAAACAAAACAAAAACACACAATAAAAGCATGTGTAAGACAGTCTAGGTTAAAAAAGAGATTGGTTTGCAAAGTAGTTTACTAGATGTCTGCCCACCTAAATTCATTTAAAGTTAAATTTTTAAAAATCCGTAATAGTTCCAACCAGATTCATAAATCTGCCACCTTTTAACTTCAAGGTGCCTACTGCTTTAAAGGAGTAAATTGTCTGGGTATAGAAGAGGAGAAATTGAGAAACTAAGAAACTGTAGTTCACACCTGCAATCCTAGCACTCTGGTAGGCTGAAGCTCAGGAGTTAAGGCCAGCCTGAGCAAAAGTGAGAATCTGTCTCTACTAAAAACAGAAAAAAAATTAGCTGAGTGTGCTGGTGCACACCTGCAGTCCCAGCTACTCAGGAGGCTGAGGCAGGAGGATCACTTGAGCCCAGGAGTTTGAGGTTGCTGTGAGCTAGGCTGGTGCCAATGCACTCTAGCCTGGGGTGACAGAGGAAAATTTTGTCTCAAAAATAAAGTAAAAAGACAGCAAGTCCTATCTCTTCTTTCTTTGATGCTTTGACCTGGGGTTGTGGGGAGGATCAGAACTAAGAACCTTATACAATATAAGGATGACTTCATCAGTCCACGCCTCTCTCAATTTACTAATCATTTGTTGTTATGGTTACCATATTTAGTAACTATCTTAACTATGATATAAAGATGAACAAGACAGGCTCTCTTCACTCTCTTAAGGGAACACATTATCTTAGAGATAAAACAAAAACAAAGTGTGAGTGGTAAGGGTTCTAGTGACTCCCAGGTATGTCTGGGTGCCAGGATCACCTAATTCTCAGACTGCCTCGAGCTCCTATTTTTAGCATGTACTCCAGGTAATTCTGAGATATATTCCTTTAGATAGGTGTTCGTATGTATTTGCAAACAACATCTATCATGTACTAGGCTTCTGTTGTGAAGGGCATCGTGCTAGGCACCTTCGATTGTTTCTGATCCCTGTAAGTACCCTATAAGGTAGGCATGATCACAAACAGAATATACTAGGGGTGGGGCCAGGGGGACTGTGCCTTAGAGCTGATGGGAAGATTAAATGTTATGATTATAGGGCACTTTGAACAGAGCCTGACACAAGACAGCTGCTCAGCAGCTGACAGATGGAGAAAAGTTAAGAGTTTTAAGTAAATTGCCTCAAGTATGCTCTCTTCTCCTAACCTCTAACTTCCAATAAAGCAGGGTAAATCTGACAAACAAAATCACATGAGAGAAACAAACAGCTTGAGTTAGAGTAATGACCCTTCTCCATCCATTTTCTCTCTATTCACCCAAACAGATAATGACAGAGCTCCATCCATATTCACTGACCAAACCTCCCTCCCTCAGACCTATACCCATCCCATCCCACCTT